ATTTTTTCGTGTACATTATCAGTATAATCATAATTACCAATTTTCATCGTAATCGGACCAGTAGTTTTTGCATGATGTGTGAAAATACATACATACAGACAGACAGACAAAATTTGTTTTATCACATTTTTGGGTTCGGTGTCTATCTAGTAACGGCCCTATTTTTTTTTTTAATATTTCCAATGTACAGAATTTACACTACTACAGTTTTATTATATGTATAGTACCCATGGATGAGTGAGCATGGTTAATAGGTACTTACTTCCTTAGTCTTGTTGGCTCAGAAATCCAAAGTGGATCTTGGCCTCCGATACGAGAATTATCCATTGAGTCAGTATTTGCCTACCTGTATTTTATACGTTCGTATATCATAGAAAAAATGGCTAATAGAATGCATTTTATAAAATGCATTATTATTTTACTTTTACTCCACTTTTTCGTTAAATAAATTCAACAATATATTCAAATTACCCTTTTCTAATCTTAAATTATAGCCTAAGCGATAATTGCAAAGAAAAATTAGCGTGACAAGTATTCCATAAAGGTTTTTAATATAATTATAGGTTTCCATTCATGTAAAGGGTAAATGGAGTGGTTTATGATGGAGTGGACGTACTCAGGTGGATGATGAATGTGTTGCATGCGACCCACATGTGACCGATATTAATGAAATTGGCCGTACGTGGTTACATGTTAGTGATCATTTCCTTAAACAACGGGGGCAGAATTTTGATATGATTATTTTATGTTAGTGGATGGTAGGTTGGAAAAGAATTTACATACATAACTTCACGCCTGTCTCCCATGGGGGTAGGCAGAGACTAAGGAACGCCAATTCTGACATACCTCTTTCGCTTCATTAACAGTCATCAATCTTTTCATGCATGCTCGTCGGTTAAGGGTACTTTTAATTTGGCCCTTCTTTAATATATCGCCAATCTGGTCACTATATGTCCGTCTAGAGCGCCCTCTACCGACGGCCCCATTCATATCCGCTGTGTATACTTCTTTCGTGCGTTCGTTCTCTACTTTCATCCATCCTTTCTACATGTCCAAACCAGCGTAACCCTATTCCCTTTTTAATCCTTGTAAATAAACATCATCTTTAAATTACAAATCGAAGCCCCACAAAACAGTTGCAATGGTTTGATTGTGGAGTCAACGAGTCTCATTTTCATTTAGTTTTAATTATGGATTTATGAACTTCAGAAGACTAACAGATAACAGTTCAAAAAAGTAAAAAAATGTGTGTGAATCATGTCTGGTTCTGTAAAGACTTGTTACTGGCTGTCGCCAGTATCAAGTCTTTACTTATAAAAAACAAACTTAATACTATAAAAGAATGTGGTCAACACGGTATATATTTTTTTTGATAGGACCTGATAAAAATCTCGGTAAAACAGTGGAGGATACCCGAAACACTAGGCGAGTTACAAGTGCGTTGCATTTGGATCTTAGAGTATTCAACATCACCATTATCAGCTACAAGACGTTCTCAATGACGTATTGGGCGGATGGAAGCAACCTGCTTTCAACCGTAGAGTATTAATACATTACATAATGGCACGTTATAAATTAGTTCACAATTTGAAACAACCTCTTAGCATTCCAACAACAGTTTCTATTCATTCTATTTTCGTTCTACAAAGAAAAAAACAACAAGAAATCTCGACAAAAGTTCTGGAACGTTCCGGCCCATTACGAGCCCCATTAAATTCAACACATCTAAGGCACATTACTCCTAACAACACCGACATACGTACATACATACAGACGTTTCCTTAGACCACAGTATGGCGGAAATACTTAAACAAAGTTACGCTCTCACATACGCTTTTAAGGTTATGTGCAGAACACGCTCACACTAACACAATCCAAGGAGTTATCTGAGAAAACTTTTAAAATTAACTTGTATGTGCGTATCGCGGAAAATGTTAAAGTTTTGTGTCAAACAAAATGTCAAAAGTCTAAAACCACAAGAAAATCGGCTTCACGGTCTGTTTTAGCGTGACAAATAAACAAACAGATGATCTCAGTTTCACTGTTATCATATTCGCTAATTATAGTAAGACAAAGCAAGATGATATGAAGTATTAAATTACGAACATTGTTATAAAGTTACAAGCCGTTTACAAAATACTACTGACTTCAAATTAAATCGCTCTACACAGTCACAGGCTTCTGGCAGATAATTTGGCGACATAACAAAGCTTAAACTTACAAAATACTAATTAATAGACCTATTAACAATATTACCAACAATTTGCAGTCTCAGATATGGACCAGAAGGTTTAGCTAGCTGAATACTAGCCAAAACCTATAAAAGAGCGTTTGGAGGGTACTAACATTAATGTAACTTGCTATACTATCTACGGGTACGGGCTATTCTATATTAAAAAGCTGAACAACTTCTTCAGCTTTTGTTTCACCGCTTCAAAACTACTGGTGCGATTTGAATTTTTCTTTTTATGTTGAATAGTCAATTTATAGAGAAAAGCTATAGGCTATAAAACTACACGCAGTGATCGATAGAAGCCGAGCATAAGCGGATGAAACCGTGCGAGACTAACTAGCTTAATACCAAAATCTTGGTGCTAAAAGTCGGTTCTGGTCTAAAGCCAAACTGTGAGGGTGTGGGATGAATACATTATATTTAACATGAGACTAGGGACGTATCTTCGTGACGCCTCCGCCCGGGTCGGCTTGGGTCGTCGTAAATCATTTTCGAAATCGCAATTTTTATGAACATTTCCTAAACATTTTGTGTAATCGGTTGCACGCGTGGTTGGGCATTGGGCTATTGATTTCGAATTTTGTTTAAAAATTGATTTCTATTTACGAGCCTGTTTGTTGACTGGTTCTATGTAATGCGCTCAATATCATTATAAATACCCGAACGTACGGCGCGTCGCGTTCCGCGCGGGCCTCAAAGAGCCATAAGACCACCACGGATGGGGCCCAATAGGACTGATGCCGATGCGGAACCGCGGAGGACTCCGGCTCAAAGGGCAGGAGTAGAAACGGGGTGGTTTTTAGTCAGTAAGGGTCCGACACTCTCTCTCCTCACCCTGGCGGGAATTCGATCATTTCCCCCCCTTAAAAAAATTACTCCTTTACTACCTTATAATCTACAGAAGTCATAGTTCATCTGTCTGTTTTTGGCTACCCATTCATCCTACGTACAAAGATTCACTCCGTCTACAATTTTTACATCCCCTTCTTTTTTTTCGACCGCTTTTATTCTTCATATTATGCAAGTGGGTCATGTGAAAACTACTTCAGTTTAATATAAGCGGCTGGCAATGCGTGTGTCTTCCCGTCCCATCGTCACAAGTACAAAGTTAAACATTATTGCTTGTAAACCAGAAAGATTTATGACTACACACACTAAATTCTGGTGACGCACACAATACTCGGGAACAATGAAATGCGAGCCGTGGATTAGTTGGAACATCCTGCATTATCATGTTTATGATCGGTTCCTGTGTATTATAGTTTGTATTAGGTGTTTCCGTAGATTGACCATATATTTTTCTACCCTCAAAAAAAAGATGCAAACATATAATGTAACACCTCTCTCTACATTCACCAGCATAGTCGCATTAGCCTCGTGATAATAATGAAAACTTTAAAATTCAAGAAGTTAATAAATAAGACACAATTTCATCCAGAATCCGGTTTGAACAGCACAAAACCCGATAAAATGTTAAACGAATCTCGTTTAAAAGTCGGTCGAGTTGAAATTGTAAGTTTGTAAGTCTACAAGTGACTTATGAATCCGTCATAAATTTTCGTTTCGTGCCAAAGCCATGAAAAATCCACGTTAACAGAAATTGTAGCCAAAACAATGAATTATATTGAACACTGCAATTTCAGATGCCAAAAATGCATTGTGATATTTTCATCATAAATATTTATTGAGTTGCAATTTTATTGACCTAAAAGTTTAGATGGATTAAATCTTCCAGGTTTTACTACAATGAGGTTAAATATACTATTTTAGTCGATTATCATCCTCAAACAAAGATATATTTATAAGACACTCCAAGAAATATCACGAACAAACTCCAAAAATTGTCTTCATAAATCCCTTTTATTACTCCCCGTTCATTTCTGAATGAGCGAGTAATTAGCTAAAATCTGAATCCAAAATAATCAGACATCTTAATCTGATTTGTAATCGTAAACAGAAGTGGGACTTCAAAAGGCTTCGTTCTATTAAACGATTTGTTTTCCTTTAAAATTTGACGCTCCCTAAGATATCTTACACGATGTTCGCAAACTTTTAAAAACTCCTTAAATTTTAAGGTTCACTTCTGTATAAAATTTTCGGTTTCCCGTAATAGACTTTCTTCTGTGTTTCTTCCGCATTGTTTTAAATGGAAGGATTATGTACTTGGATATTTTTTACAGTTTTATTATTACTGCTATTGCATTTTTGCTTTTCTCATCTGAAATTTTCAAGTGAACTGTTTTGTTATTCAACAAATAATGTTCTGCGCTTAGATTAAAACCAAAATCAATTAAGCACTGCCACCAACACGTGTTTAACCCCGCCAATTTTCCTTTGATATCAAGCTCAGGCCGAGGCAACATAACGTCCTCAACCATATCCTGTTCCCGATGCTATTGGCCGTAACCTGGTACAAAGGTGTCGTAGTAAATAATTTTGGTTTGTTGATATGGGTCGACACAACGCGGGCCCTGTAATATTACTCCGTCAAACCACATTAGCTTACGAAGAGTTGACAAATACACACAAGAATTGTATTCGGCTGGCTTATTGTGTCTAGAATGATAGATGGAGAGGCAACGTTTTGATTAACTTTCCCAAAAGCTCACGTAACCACTATACATTTGTCAATTCAGTAGGTATTCATTTCATTTCAAACCACAAAATTAATGAAACCCCTTTTCATTGTTACAGATTAAAATGAATGCACACCGTTCAACATGGATCAGATATTCAGCCGTAATGGTATGATAGATCCATCTCTAACATGCGTCCCGGTCAGCGGTGGTTGGCGATCTGTCTACTCATCACCACGTTCCACTACACAGAAATGAGGCATTCAGTCGACACCTTGAATATTGAGGACTCCGTCTTCCATAAGAGAAACAGGCATCACCACAGGCACAAACACAAACCTGGTCAAATGTATGATCCAACATTCTTTGCTGACAAGCCTGAGGAGTTCTATCCAATATTCAATTTAAAAGACGGAATGCACTTAGTGGATTATGAGATTACACCCAAGCAAGAAACGAAGAGTGATTGGGTGAACATGTCCAACGACCAAGTCGGGGAGATCAAGGACAAGAAACATCAGCACTGGCCTATAAAGAGAGAGGCAGTGATTGAAGGAGATTTGGTGCTGGGAGGGTTGATGATGGTCCACGAGAGATCAGATAACATGACGTGTGGACCAGTGATGCCTCAAGGAGGCGTGCAGGCGCTGGAGACGATGTTGTATACTTTGGATTTTATTAATAATGACTTGAGACTGATACCTGGCGTGACTGTTGGAGCTCATATCTTAGATGATTGTGATAAGGATACGTACGGGCTTGAGATGGCTGTGGATTTTATAAAAGGTGTGTACCTATGACAACATTTAAATTCAACTTTAATAAGCTATCATTTATGGTCGTTAATATGTTGTATTGTTCTCTAAGGTTCAATAAGCAACATAGACGATGCGGAGTACGCGTGCAATGCGACAGCTGTCCGGAAGGTGATATCTGGCGTTGTTGGTGCGGCCTCCAGCGTCACTTCCGTACAGGTCGCCAATCTACTGCGCCTGTTCAAAATACCACAAGTGAGTTAATTATGTTGCTATTTCTGTATTTATCTACATAGTTGTTAATGTTTTTTGTAAATACAGAGACAAAGTTTTAAACATTTACTTGTTACATTAATGATTGCTTACTGTACGTAAGGCTACAGTTTGGGTTGTATCCAATATAGGTACCTAGACATGACAATAATAACCAATTACTTTACAGCTCTTTTCTTCTAGATGGCACTGTATTGAAGACGTTATAAAATCTTATTTATGACCAGGTTTCATTCTTCTCAACATCACCGGAGCTGTCGAACAAGGCCCGGTTCGAATACTTCACGCGCACGATACCTTCCGACCACCACCAGGTGCGCGCCATGGTGGAGATTGTTAAGAAGTTGGAGTGGAGCTACGTCTCCATCATCTATGAAGAGTCCAGTTATGGAATTAAGGTGAGAGCATCCTTGCTCGTATTCGCAAGTCTGAAATTAATATTACCGCCCCTTGATTTACGTGTTAATGTTCTTTTCATTCATTCATATCTAGATACTCGTATTCAACATCTACATGATGATATTATGATCAGACACAAGTGCAACGTGTCCATCATAACCGTACATAAACTTAACTATAATGTCTAAATTAAAATGACCATAACTTCATTTTCAACAACAAAACGGACACACATAACACGCACAGCAAAAATTCTATCCTAACAATGTTTAGCAAAAGGCCTAATCTTACTTCTAATCAAGATTAACTAGTAACCACGAGGCCTAACTAATCGTGTCACAGTACCACAAGCAACCATGTTAGACCCAGATAAATTGATGTGACGTCATGAATATGAATGCAGCCGTTGACCGTACGTTTAATTCGTGGTAAACGATGATGGATTGGGACCTAATGAACAAGGCAATTCATGGAACGGCAATTACATCAACCGACTAGTTGGATTTGAAGATTTGAGGTTCAAAGGTTAATTACTGCGAATGTAACTGGCTGAGTGGAAATAGCTGGAATAGATGCTTTGTAACACCTCAATCAAGTTAGGTGAAGGTGTTATACGGTTAAATTGCGTCCAGTCGTAAATATTATTGTATTATTGTCCTTGTTCTGTAAAGAAGAACGAGTCTGATTGTTTGACTATAAGATCAGCAATGTAACATATAACATACATAACATCAGGCCTCTTATCCCCGAAGGGATTGGCAGAGGTGCTTACTGCCACTGTACGATGTAACACCCACTTTTCACTATTTATGTTAAGAGTCTCATGTAATAGGAGATGAGCCTATTGCTATATACTGGGCACATTTGCAGACTCTGTGCTACTACTGAAATATTTTTGAAAAAAGCCATTAATACCTTTCAACCCGGGAATCGTACCTGAGACTCCGTTGCCCGGCAATCGGACTTGCGACCACTCGGCGGAGTTAGTAGAAAAAAATCCTTACTACTAGGTACCATTTTTACAATCTTTCTCGAATATCATTATTTAATAGAAATTTAAAAGGAGTATGTACCTACCTATTTATAATTAATCACTCCCCCTACCTACAATTTTATCTCCCTATAATAATAATGTTTACACGAAAACAAGCCCTAATAATAATATGTATTGTATACCGTTTTAAATGTAAAAACAATTATTTTAATCTGCACAGCACTAAAATAAATAGAATAATAACATTTAAAGCAATGGCTTTATTATACAAATCGTTTGAATTTGTTATTAATCCGGCTGTATTATAATAATTGGCAACGTCTCTTATTTATTGGCAATGTTTTGAGTACCTGGTAATACCGGCCGCTTTTTGTATTGAAATAACTATTACATAAGGAAACCCTGCCTTGTTTTTCACATGTGTTACTAGATTTCCCAATTCTAGTTTGATTAGAATTGGGAGAATGACAGGGTATGAAAATTAAAAATCTAATTAGTCCGTAAGTTAGGTAATGAAAAAATATTAGACACGTATTTTTTTATTTTGTTGCATAATAAAATGATACTTACATATAACGAATCAACGTCATATGTGACGTCACGTGACATTTCAAATCAATATATCGTCGAAAGTATTCGTTTCTGTAGGAAAATAAAAAATAGGTGTTTAATGGTTTAAAACAATCTACCAGACGGACATTAAAATAAAAAATTAGGTATCCATCCTATTGTGTTTGTTCAAATTACGTAATCATTGCGTCTCTTTCTTTCATTAAGAGAGTTCCAAACAAAAAAAGGACCGCCTCTGTCTAACCTGTAGATATGTATGTTTTGTGCGCAATCATCTCGCAATTGGTTGAACTGATTTTGATGCGGTTTCCAAAAGAATATTTGTTATACTTATGAGAAGGTTTTAGTACCTATATTAATTAACAGAGTTCAACAAAAGAAGGTGATGACGTCTGTTTTTTTAACGTTGTTTAAAGAGAATAATTTTATGTTCCTACTAATGTCTCTCACTGTTCAAGTTATGTGTAAGCTGAAGCTATGGGTGTGTCTAATATCATCAGATCATCTCATAACATTTCTTTCATTACATCCCTTACTTATCTACGAGTGTCCCTTTTTAAATCATTATTATTTTATCTCTTTGTCTTGTAGTTTTGATCAAGATCCGTTGTAAACTTTTTTACAAGGCAATAAAAATGAAACTATTTGCTGACCAGAATTTTGTTTCAGGCTTTCGAAGAGTTGGAAGCCTTACTTGCAAAGAGCAATATCTGCATAGCAGTGAAGGAGAAACTGGTGAAGGACTCAGGAGTGGCCCACGAAGGTGCTTACGATGAAATCGTATCCAAGCTGCTCACTAAACCCAGAGCAAGAGGTAAGTAAACCTACCGTAATACTAACTGTAGTAATAGTGGGAGAGCCATGCTTCGGCACGAATGGACCGGCTCGACTGGAGTGATACCACGGCCTCATAGAAACCCGATGTGCAGCAACGCTTCGTTGTATTTCGTCGTGTGAGTGAGGTTACCGGAGGCTCAATTACCCTCCCCTTCCCCAATCTCCCCAATCCCTGAATCCCCAACGATCCTCAAACTCCTAATCCCCAAAAAGCCGGTAACGCCTCTGGTGTTCCAGGTGTCCATAGGCGACGCTGATTGCTTACCATCAGGTGATCCGTCTACTCGTTTACCGGCTTATACCATAAAAAAAACCACTACCACCACCAACCCAAACCACAAAATCGATTGACAGTCACAATTCACTAACAGCTACCGAATAATATTCTTTATATGTCCTTTACTTGGCAGAACCTCGTAAAGGACATTAGAACCGGCCTTAGAGCCGAGAGGAAGAAGAATTGCAAGAAAATAATAATAATGAACTTAGACTATTAACCAATAACGTTTGACTTATGTAAATATACTGAGCAAAGCTCTACTAGTTTCGAGTCACAGCGGGACTCTTCTTCATGAGCAGCGCACGGAGTCGCGGCGAGCGACGTCGTAAACTCGTAACCGTTATTTTAGTTAATTCAATATGCTCAATATCTATGAACCTTGTTTTTTTAAATATCGTGAGACATACTAAATTATGAGGAGGAACCCCTTTGTGGTTCGAAACTAGTAGACCTTTTCTCAGTATATTCACGTGAGTAACCCGCGATTTTAGTAAATTGATGTATGAACCTTATTCAGGAATTAAACAAAGTATTTGTAAAATTTTGAATATTAAAGAGAAATAAGCAATTTGTAGTCTTTTCAGTAAATACAAATTTCTGAATACCATGCTCTAGCAGTCATTCCTGTATTCAATAAAACTTGTCCAGGGACTTTGAATAGGTTGCTACATACATTCTGGTGTACAGTGTACAGTGGACATCACATCAACCTACTCCAATGCGTCATTTTTTTTCGACTTTATACCCAAAACATAGAGTTGAAAATCTAATAACAAAAATGATAGGTTAACCTGCTGCCACTGTACATGAATACAATTTCTGTCGTTATTTAAACGTATATCATGAATGAATCCATAATTTATCAAACGGTAATTAATATTAAATAGGTAATTTCAAATGATTTAGCTTGTTCTAGTTTCATATTTATGGCTGAATTCGTTATAACCACTAAATTATTTTCACATGGCAATACTCACAGAATTGTCGCATGTCGGACTTTTATAATACTCACTGAACACTGAACATTAATTACACTGCAACTACTGAATTACACTTTATTGTAATGTTTATTTCAACTTAGATTAAATTATCGTGTTTTGTTAACATATGACCTAAATGAGTTTTACATGTTAATTGATATTTACTGCAGTATTGTGTTCACGCAATGAAAATAAAACTTAAACTTTAATTCATTAAAGTTAAAGTTTCAACTTTGCCCTACAGAATCTCAAACTCATCAGTTAGGTAGGTAGTCTTAAGAGATTGGTCTAATGAATTTATGCATAACTACTGAGCAGAATAAACCTTTGGTACCACGGTACATATGTCTGTAAAACGTACGTCTACAATTTGACCTTGGAACGTAACACCGACTCTCACATCTCCACACGAATCCGATATGTATTTAAAGCAATTTACCGCACTAATTACTATGTAAATTTCTGATAATTTAAACTAAAATCGGTTTCGGTTGTAACAATTTCCGCAGTAATCTGGGATTGTAATAATATTATTCGTGAAACAGTAGTTTGTAATTGCCTACAGAAGTTGTGCTCCCTCGAGATTTCGCACGTTATTGCCACGATTTAGTTACTTTCGTCAAAGGAGTTGTTTGTGGATACGGTTAACCAGGATCCCAGCTGAGGATTATATCAACAGTGTCACTAGATTATTATCAACGACAACGTCCGGAGGAAACCTAATATTTTGTTTAAACTTTATTTTAATTAAAACTTACACTAGCCGCTACCTGATAACTAGTAAGTCTATTTCGTCCAATGCCTAACCGAAGTCTTAGCAGACCGTCCCAAAAATCCAATGGAACGACAAACAAGGCGCTATAAACTGTAATTTTATCTAGTTCCACCATATTGGCGACGAGGCCATGATAAATTGTGGCCGTGCGCCACGCAGATAGGCAGCTGCGCTGAGTAAAACAATTTTTCGCTAAAGCGGTTACTGAAATTGAATCTCCAATAGATTCAATAGCGACGATAAGAGATGATTACCATTAACTACGCCACTTTGCGTCCGTGTGGATGGGCGAGCATTGCGTGGGGAGAGCTCAGCGGCGAGCAGATTGTGCCGGATTAAAACAGGTGGCGTTTCAATGCTTCCACGAGTGATCAGATACAGAACACTTTGTGAATACCTACCACTAATATGGAAACTGTTTTACAAATGTGGCCAATGTTCCGCAGCAAATAAATGTGCAATATTGCTCTGCACTGGTTGAATAAAATTCATGGGAAAAGTCACTTTACGCGGCCAGCAAGCGCAGCAACGATCACACATAAATCGAATGTGAAGTGAAGCAGAAAGTGCATCGCACTCGAACGACCAGTGAGCTAAAGAGTCCAACTTATGAATTATTGATTGGATTTATAATGTTCACACATTCCGCACAGGCGACTGCAACAAGTTTACAGAACTAGGAAAACTTAAAAATGTTTCAGTTTGCGGCTAGATGAAAACGACAAATCGGGATATAGGTCTTATTTTTCTTTTTGTAATGTGCACCCAAGGAATTATTTGCTATTTTCCTATATTGCCTACTTGTTGTTTACCTTTTTTTCTTTTCGCACGTGGCGTTAACTTAAGATTAATTGTTGCACTTGTAAATGCTTTCTCCAATAATGTAGTAGCAATTGTTGGTTAACCAACATCTTTTTTATTATATTACTAAGGACTGAGGCAATTTTGTTAAGTTTAAAAACTAGATAAAGTGTATTTTCTCCTAACCGAAGAAGAAACCCTTCTTCAGAATAAAAGTGAAGGGTTTGTGGAAAACGAAAATTACTAATTTTAGAAACTAGTGGGTGGGTTATACTTTTGCTAGAACAATTGTAGAAAGAGGTTATAGTAGGTACCTATACATAACACTACACAAAATTGATGAGAAAGCCAGAAAACTATATGTAACATTACGCTAAAAGCAAGTGGGCGTCTCCAGTAACATTTGCAAAATACATGATAAGAGCGAAAAGACCCTTAGTTAAATATATTCGCAAATTTATTCAAACGACTATATATTCAGTTCTTTCATGTTATCTGCCTAAAACCAAGTACTATCTATTTTAATTCAGAAGCTTAGTGTAATAAATAGCGTCACCTGTCGCAGCCTCGGCTCGCTGCCTACATTATGTACAAGATTTATTATTTACGACTGAATTTACTTCGGATATTTTACTTTCTTTTTCACCACGAAGAAACATAAAACAGTAGAATTGTAGGATAATGTGAATAAGTACTATGCTTACCTCAGGATTTAATAAATGGCCTGAATTTGGTTTGAATGTTTTTGGCGCTGGCTTTTGTCGCCTTACTTTCATATATATCTTTATCTCAAAAGGGGTATAAGGCTTTTTACACCTGTTTTTCTAGACACAATTTGTTTTATTATTACTACTAATACTTTATTTCAGACCATTGTGTCCAAATTGTTAGTAACAATGTTCTTATAGACTAGTGTTAGTGATACTTAAAATTACCCACAACAAAACAAAATAAATATTAATCAATAACCAACAATCACTATTTCGCCATTCCGTGAGAAAATGGCGGAACAATGACTGATGTAGACACAGTCCAGCCGACTCGCGATCATGTTGAGGACGCTGTTGGCGCTGCATCGCACTCTACGCACCAGAGATGCGCATCTCTTACGCATCGTAGCGTAGAAGCAGTCCACCCGATGTTCAGCAAACATCCCTGATGCACTACAGAATCGCCCCAGCCCCATCAGCATCCTAAACGCATTATTAAATTGAACTCGAAGGGCACCGTAAGACGTGTGTAGTCAGCCCACAGGCTTTACGTATAGAAGGAAGTGCAGTAAGATCTAAAAAGTGTAATTTTAACATCTGTCGAACAACGTGCAAACCTGCGAGCTATCATGTTCGCCCGCACTGCCAGCGCCCTTCGTTCCCTTTCAATGTCATCATTGTCCTAATTATGCTGTTGTAATTGAGTCATGCTCAACATTATTAACCAGTTATTTATTTAGAATCTTTACGTAAATGAAAATTTCACTATCGAAAACTCAGTAACAACGTCGTAAGTCACACACGCGTGGGATAAGTTCTAAACGAAGCTCGTACTTACAATACATGTTCAAAGAAGTCATCGTCTAATGTCTACTTGACTTTTATGTGACTCTAGAGTTTCTATGACAGGATATATATAGCCATTTTCTAACCAAAACGTTGATCGGAATCTTTTATTTAACGCTTAAGCATCATTAAAATAATTCTCAACTAACTCTGGCCGAGTGGTCGCAAGTGCGACTGCCGAGTAAGAGGTCTCGGGTTCGATTCCCGGATCGGACAAAGTAGTATTGAGTTTTTTCAAAAAATTGAATAGTAGCACGGAGCCTGGAAATGTGCTCAGTACATGGCAATAGGCTCAGCCCCTATTACATGGGACTCATAACATAAAATAGTGAAAAGTGGGTGTTACATTGTACAGTGGCATTAACTGTCGTAATGTGCATCTCTGCCTGCCCCTTCAGGGGTAATAAGGCATGAAGTTATGTTATGTTAATGTTGTATAATTTAGGCGTGTTTCCAGTCATATAAACGTTTACAACTACATTAATACAACTTACCTTATAAGACCAACAGTAAAATGAAAGCGTTTACTTCAACTATTACAAATTATTAATTTGTTACTTAGGCCGCGCTCGAGTCGTCTCGTATGAAATGTTCATTCTCATTACGATAGTTGAGTGTCGAGACGATACACTTACCATAGGATGACGTCGTATGTGATCTTAGGATGATCCTCGACCTATTCAATAGACTAGAAACACTATTGTTTGTTTAGCATACCTATATTCGTACTTCATACTTCATCATCGGCATTATCATCATCAACCTGAATATTATATGTACTGCTAAAGAAAATTCTTTTATAATTGCTGTAATCCCCACGTTTTCTATACGATTTTGGAATTGTCGATTAATTTACCAAAATAATTAAGCACTAGAGTATAGGCCAGTCTTACAATCATAATATGAATTATACTACAGGCATTCTGATCGGTATTGTCCAACAAAGAACATAATTGAATGAATGAGTCAGCACATCACACCAACATTCGGATCAATTGCACTCTGTACGGTATTTGAGCACCTCTCATCTATGGCCAGTCATGTTGATATTGGCACGAATAAGTCCGAAATTGTCTCCTTCTCATAACCTACGGTATGCTCCTTTTACGTGCAATGAACTGACGGAATGAAACTCTTTTAGTGTTTTAGAATTCAATATTTACAGACCTACGTATGTTCAAGTATGGAAGGTAAAGTGATTAAAGTTCGAAATCGATTATATAAAATAAAAGTTAAACTATTGGTTTTCGAAATTAAAAATCTTACAATACTGAACTAAGACCGTAAATCGTACGAGACAGATGGCGCTAGTGTGTAGAATTAGTTAGTGTTACACTATTGGACGTTCAATATTTGACAGCTGCTGTGATTGGATAAAAATCCTCTTACTACATTTGCAACGTCAGGTGAGCAAAAATACTTCAGGCCCCATATAGTAGCAATCAACAAAACAACCCAACTAGAAAAAGGCGTGAAAAATTAATTACAGCCGCAAAAAAATATTGTTTGGATAATTCGATTTGGCTAGCGCGTGCCGTCTTACATAAACACTAAGAGGCTCTACCTGTTTAATAATACAGGGCATCCCTCGGATTTCCGCTCCTGTAAGGGCTAATAAATTAGTTGGTACACGCCTTTGTTTGAACACGATAGGCCTTTGTGCCTCTAAGCTACGTCTGTGTACAACTTCCCCCGATACTAGACAAGTAAACAGTTGCTTGACATTGTGCCATGTCACGTTCTTCAGATAGGCCTGTCTTCATTACTTTAATTGAAATCTTTTGTGGCAATGTCTTAGTTTTATTTACTTCTTCTCAAATGAAAGTTTTTTATAAGTGTGGGAGGGCCATGCTCCGGCACGAATGGGCCGGCTCGACCGGCCGTGATACCGCGGCCGAGCAGAAAAAGAAAAAACCGACGTGAAACAACGCTTGCATTATGTTCTTATAATAACTATCGTCTGTCGCGCAGCCTACTGTAGTCTGTAGTCTGTAGTAGGCTGCGCGACATCGCCGTGACCCCTCTGTGGTTCGAAACTAATAGAGCTTTTCTCAGTATATTCACGTGAGTAACCCGCGATTTTAAGTTAGCTTGCATTATGTTGCGTAGTGTGAATGAGATTACCGGAGCGGAGGGCCAATTACACCCCTTCCTAGTCTCCCCAATTCCTGAATTCCTAACAATCTTCAAATTCCTAATCCTCAAAAGGCCGGTACATGTTACACCATTCCGGGTATCCATGATCATCGCCGATTGCTTACCATCAGGTGATCTGCCTGCTCATTTACCGGCCTATCTTATAAAAAAGTGGAATAAATTTGGAATTCAATAAATCTAATAATAACGTATAACAGACTATAAAAAAGTTGTGTTGGTGGTTATGTATCTTCAGAATAAACAACCTTCTATGTTAATTTTCAATTTAATTAAAGAAAAACTTTTGGTCTAATAGATAGGCTGTCAAAGGAATTCTAGAGGTTTATATCTAAGCTGGGCCACGTATAGCTTTCCATATGTCCACATTATTTATGACTTTTATAACCTATATCCTGGAAAGTTAATAAGTCTTTAAACTTCCACTTCAATTATCTTTTCTATTCACAGGAGCCATCATCTTCGGTTCAGACCAAGAAGTAGCAGGGGTAATGAGAGCAGTGGAAAGAGCCAACGCCACACATTCCTTCAGCTGGGTCGGATCTGATGGATGGAGTGCCAGATCCTTGGTCTCCGATGGAAATGAGCGAGCAGTTGAGGGCACCATCAGCGTCCAGCCCCAGGCCAATGATGTGAAAGGATTCAAGGAATATTTCTTGAACTTGAACGTGAAAAATAATAAGAGGAACCCTTGGTTTGTAGGTAAGCACTTAAATAGGTAAGATAAGGACTTGATCCATTTACCGTAAGTAGTTCCAAGGTGCGTAATTATGTAAGCGACTGTCGAAGCGCCTACTGCTTTATAAAGGCAATTACACTCAACTGGCTAATGACGCGAACAAGCGCACGTTAGGCGTATTTGTAGTTAATTTTATTGTATTCTGTAACCTCTCATCAATCTGTTTTTTGTCATTGTTCTGATTACACGTAATTAATTCTACTCGACTGCTTTAAATTATTTTACCACCTTGGAGTTTTCTACATGGTCCTTCGAGCCGGATTGATAATATTTTCATGAAAATCAGCGATAATTTGAAGAAATCACATAAATTATTAAAATATCAAGACGGGTTATAACAACGTGGTCAAGTTCGAAAGGTGCTTTGAAAAGTGGCTTAGACATTAAAAACACATGTTATAAGTTGTATTTAACCCAACACTCTAAAGGTAGTATTTATAATAATAATTTAAATCATTAAAAGGTTAGTACTTGCACAAATTTATTATGTTACGTACTCAAAATCTTCTGTGTCATTGAGCGAATAAAGGTTAACTTTAATAATTTTTATGATCAGTTCAGTTTAGAACTGAGTTCATTATTATTAATCGTTTGCTTATGTGTTTAAAGTAACGTTTAAATTATTTAATTTAAGTATAGCCGTAATTGCTCATTTTATATTTCGACAAGTAGATTGAAGTAAGTAAGTAGGTAATAGTTACAATTATAGTAACATTGTGTTAAGTCATTGTTATAAAAACCTTATTGCAGTTACGAGTATAATAAAAATAATTGTGATTTAGTTTAATATTTTCCAAGCTGACACGCTCAATTTATAGTAAACTTTAATGATAAACTTATTCAGTATTTGATCCTATTGTTATAAATTCCAGGATTTATCAATCGTCTCCCACGATGTCCACAAAAAGTGACAAGGCTGATATGGAAGTAGCACGGGAAGTAGCTCGGGAAATAGCGGAACTTACTAAGAAACGCAGTAGCTACAAGGGTCGCATAACTATCTTTTCTGGTTTTCTAAAGTCACTAGATATTTCATCGATAACATCAAAGGACATTAGCGAAATTGAAATGCGTATAGGTAAGCTCGAATCATTGTATGCTAGTTATGACGAGACGCAAACGAGGCTCGAATGTATCGCAGACTGTGAAACCCAGTTGTTAGAGAGGGATGAATTCGAGTCTCGTTACTATAAAATCCTCTGTCAGGCACAGGAAATAATAGCCACTCATAAAAAATCTCCCGTTCCTAGTGAATGTTGCTCTCATAATGGTAGCAATAGTAATAATAAACCCGTCAAATTACCTACCATACAGCTGCCTAAGTTCGATGGATCGTATGAAAATTGGCTCGAGTTTCGTGATACTTTTGATAGCCTAATACACTCAAATCAAAGTATAGATATTATCAACAAATATCATTACCTGAGAGCGTCTTTGGAAGGTTCCGCTGCTGTGGTAATAAAATCCATTCAGTTCTGTGCGACAAACTATGATACAGCTTGGCAATTGTTGTGTGACCGCTACGATAATAAACGTTTACTTATTCACAATCACATTTCGGCGTTGTTTAACATTGAGCCAGTAACACGAGAATCGTCAAGTCCATTAAAACGCTTAATGGATCAATTTAATAAGAATTTCCGTGCATTGGAATCCTTAGGAGAGCCTGTGAAGCACTGGGATACACTTCTCATTTACATCATGTCACACAAATTAGACACTAAAACACTACGTGAATGGGAAGAGTACAAAGGCCAGATCACCAAGGATCACACTATTTCGCTTCAACATTTTATTGATTTCATGAAGATTCGCACTGATTTAATTGAGTCTATAGAATGTCATACATCACAGAACACCACACATCGTAACACAAACTCAAAATCGTCCAAACATAAAACTATGGTTTCATTAGACAACAGTTCTAATAACAATGCAGCCAGCTTGAGTTCAGGGAAATGTCCTAAATGCAGCGAAGATCACAAACTAATAACTGTCCGCAGTTTTTAGCGTTAAGCAATGAAGCACGACTTCAATTGTTACCAGGTTTTAAAGTTTGTTTTAATTGTTTTTGCGGTGGACACTACGCTAATCATTGTAAGAAGCCCGGTTGCAAATTATGCAAGCGACGTCATAACACTCTCATTCACGTTGCAGATACTACCAAGACAAAACCAGTTATGCCTCGCGGACGAACTGATAACATTGTTAGCAGCACCCCGCCCGCCACTTCTACCGATGTGAATCCTAGCTTGACACTGTCGGCGAGCGTCGCGGCCTCCAGTCACCAAGTGCACGGTCATCGCGTTGACGTTCTGTTATCGACGGTACTAATTAAGCTATATGATTCCAATAATCGCGAGCATTTAGCGCGCGCAATTCTCGATAGTGGTAGCACTTCTTGTCTTATGACGAATAAAATGTATCGTCAATTGAATCTGCCCTTTACACCCATAAATAAATCAATTATGGGGATTAACAGTGTTGCGTCTCAAATAAATAAAATGTGTTTAGTATCTTTAAAATCGTTAGATGAAACCTTTGTAACTAATCTAAGATGTTTTGTGTTACCGTCGATAACAAACAACGTACCGTGTCATTCGCTCGACATAAGTACACTTAATATACCTAGTAACGTCTGTTTAGCCGATCCTAACTTTCACACGCCTGCGTCAGTTGATTTGATAATAGGCGCTGATGTTTTCTGGGATGTTCTGGGATCACAAAGGTTAGATTTAGGCGCCGGTAAACCTACACTTTACGAAACTAGGTTAGGGTGGATAGTTTCTGGCCCTTTAGTAAATAGTAAGGCCACTTTACCCAATCCTGTTTGTAATTTTGTGCAGCTTGATGCGGCTGCCGGTAATAGCTTTCATGAACAAATTCAGCATCAGCTTGAGCAGTTTTGGAGTTTAGAGGATGTAACTGAATGTTCCGCTACCTCACCCGAATACAAATTGTGTGAGGATCATTTTATGACAAACACTACGCGTTTGCCAGATGGACGCTTTTGTGTAAAAATTCCGTTAAAGAATAAACCGTCCGTGTTAGGCAATTCATTGCATCGTGCTAAGCAATGTTTTTATTCTTTAGAGCGTAGGTTGTCAAACCAGGCGAACATTTATAAAATGTACTCCGAATTTATGTCAGAATACATAACGTTAGGTCACATGACAGAATGTAAACTGACTACGGATGCACACTACATTCCTCATCATGGCGTTATTCGGGACAGCAGCACGACCACTAAACTGAGGGCCGTGTTCAATGCGAGTAGCCCAACCTCTAACGGTGTAACCTTAAATAGCATCCAAATGGTTGGCCCCACGGTTCAGGATGACCTTTTGTCCATCCTTCTGCGATTCCGACAGCATAAATATATTTTAATGGCTGATGTCGAAAAAATGTATCGGCAGATAGCGGTACATCCTGATGACAGGGATTTGCAAAGGATAGTTTGGCGCTGTAATCCTAAAGATGCACTAAAGGCATTTCAGCTGAACACGGTCACCTATGGGACCGCAAGCGCTCCCTTTCTTGCTACTAGATGCCTTAAGCAGCTAGGGATTGAGTGTGACGACAAAAGGATCTCCGAAATCATTACACATGATTTTTATGTTGATGATCTCTTAAGTGGAGGGGATGATCTTACTGACGTTAAAAACATGCGTGACAAACTTACGTCAGTTCTCGCCTCAGCTTGCTTTCCACTTAGAAAGTGGCAGTCTAATGAACCTCAATTAGTCTCTGAGCTGGCTCAGTCTTCCCGAAACCTAAACATAGGTGGAAATGAGCCCAGCAAGACCTTAGGTTTGGGATGGCAAGCTGTTGCTGATGAGCTGTGTTTTCCCACGGATCACTCGTTCGCCATGACAGAGTTAGTGTGTACGAAACGTAGTATGCTTTCCATAATTTCACAAATATTCGACCCTTTAGGTCTTGTTTCTCCTGTTGTAATTAATCTAAAAATGCTCTTACAGAAATTATGGTTGCATAAACTGTCTTGGGATGAGCCGTTGACGCCGGATATAGAAGATATTTGGTCTGACGTAATTAAAGGGTTGCATCACCTCAATAATATTCGCATTCCACGTCGAGTAATAATCGACTCATTCAAACGTCTCGAGTTTCACATTTTTTCTGATGCGTCTGAAAGAGCATACGGTGCATGTCTGTATGTTCGTAGCATTAATGAATCTGGCAAAATTCTCGTCAGATTATTAGTTTCTAAGAGTCGAGTAGCACCCATTAAGGCTACTACGATTCCCAGACTTGAGCTCTGTGGAGCTTTAGTAGGTGCACGTCTTTATAATAAGGTAGTGAAGTCATTACGAGTTAAGGCGGCATGTACTGTGTTCTGGACTGATTCAACCATTTTATTGGGTTGGTTGAAAATGTTGCCTTGTAAATTGCACACCTTTGTCCGTAATCGCATTGGTGAGATATTAGAGTTGACCGGCGATTGTGTGTGGCGACACGTTCCCACTCAATGTAACCCAGCGGATTACATTTCGCGTGGTGTTAGTGTTGAGTCTATTCAGGCATTGGACATTTGGTGGTCAGGGCCTAGTTTTTTAAAGGAGCCTGAAGTAAGCTGGCCTTTAAATTCTGTTTATATGGAATCACTGCCAGAAACGCGCACCGAATTGTCATGTGTTGCTCAAATGGATGTAATCCATAATGTCAATAATTTTATTCAATTTAATCGTTTTTCTAAATTTAATCGGCTTAGGCGTGCGGTAGCGTACATGCTACGATTTATTGACGCATGTAGACGACGGCCACTTGTAAGCAATTATCTCTCTGAAGTCGAGTTACGTAACGCCCTGAACGTCATTATTAGAGTGTCTCAGATGGAGTCATTCAGTGAATATAATACGTTAATAAATAATAAACGTTTAACAAAAAAGAGTAATTTGCTTAAATTTAATGTATTTTTAGATGACTTTAAAATTATGCGAGTTGGCGGTCGTCTTGAAAATTCTACATTTACATATTCAAAGAAGCATCCAATTCTCCTACAGTCCACTCATCCTTTTACAATTTTGCTCTTTGAATTTGAACATGAAAAGCTCATGCATGCTGGGCCACAATTATTGTTAGCATCAATTAGAGAGGCTTATTGGCCAATAGGTGGACGTAATTTGGCAAGGGCCTGTTATCGTCGCTGCATTAGGTGTTCTCGGATGAAGGGAAGGGTTATAGCACCAATAATGGGTAATTTACCACAGCAGCGCCTATCACCGGGAGGTTTTCCTTTTCAAACCGTTGGCGTAGACTACGCGGGCCCTATCTCTTCCGCTAGTCGTCAAGGTCGTGGTTGTCGCATAGTGAAGGTTTATATTGTACTGTTCATCTGTTTCACTACTAAGGCAATACATTTAGAATTGGTAGGTGACATGACGAGTTACGGTTATTTGTCAGCTCTACGTAGGTTTATTGCACGTAGAGGTAAACCGACACAGATGTTCTCTGACAATGGGACAACATTTGTCGGAGCATACAATGATTTGGCAAAATTTCTAAAGGACCATTCGGATGAAATATCTGGTGACTTGGCAAATGAAGGAATAGACTTTCATTTTATTCCTGCCTATTCACCTCATTTTGGGGGCATCTGGGAGGCAGGAGTTAAATCCACAAAATATCATTTGCTTAGAGTGCTGGGAAATTGTAACCTCACTTACGAGGAATTAAATTCTACTTTGGTCCAGATTGAAGCCATTTTAAATTCACGGCCACTCACGCCTTTGTCTTCGCATCCCGACGATATGACGCCGTTAACCCCTGGACACTTTTTGATCGGACGCTCTCTTACTTCGCTACCAACAAAGGATCTTCAAGATCATAATGCTGCCCATCTCACCCGCTTCCATCGCATCGAGCAATTGCGGCAGCATTTTTGGACAAGGTGGAGCAAAGAGTATGTGTCGGAACTCCAACAACGGACTAAATGGCAGACTTCCAACCACCCTTTGCAGATCGACTCCCTCGTTTTGTTGAAGGAAGATCACTTGCCTCCCCTCAAGTGGAAGCTGGGCAGAATTATTCGGCTGTACCCAGGTGCCGACCAAGTTGCTCGCGTAGCGGAGATCAAAACCTCGACTGGAGTGGTCAGAAGATCTTTTAGTAAAATTTGTCCGCTGCCGATCGGTGATAATCAGTAGCTGGTTGAAAGGAAGGCTTTCAACGCCCGGGGGCATGTCGAAGCGCCTACTGCTTTATAAAGGCAATTACACTCAACTGGCTAATGACGCGAACAAGCGCACGTTAGGCGTATTTGTAGTTAATTTTATTATATTCTGTAACCTCTCATCAATCTGTTTTTTGTCATTGTTCTGATTACACGTAATTAATTCTACTCGACTGCTTTAAATTATTTTACCACCTTGGAGTTTTCTACAGCGACTAAACCTCATTTATACAGACGTTGGTTATCCAAATTAAAATAAATAAACACTGTTTTTCGAACGTTCCGTCAAGACAAGTATGAATTGGGGATCAGCACAGTGATATAAAGGGTACGAACTGTCTATAACCGAGTCAATAAACTTCCCCAAACTCAAAGAGAATGGTTAATTAAAAAGCCATGTCATCAAATATTAGTTTCCATGCCAATCATCAGGTTGGCCGAGACAGATAATGAATAAAACTCGCGAATTCCCAAACTTGGTCTATGAGGAAGACGAAACTTTACACGGTACTTAATTCAGATGTCGAGATATTCTCTTTTATCTCGCTTATAACATTGCAAATAGTTGAAAACACCCGGAAACTTTGTTCTGGGAGCAATGAAGCCTTTCTTCTGAAGGTGGATCTGCGACGTGATGGAATTTCTTCAAAGAAACTTTCTTGTGCCTCTTTTGAAACGAAAGTGAACGCGCGACTTGAAATTGGTGAGAACTGTCTACTCATTGCCATTTTGTAATTAACAATGACTTTGGTAGTACAATAAAATCAACTTAGACTTTGACTACAACTTAGATTACCTCTAAAGTTTTTTTTTTATAGGATAAGCCGATAAAAAGGGCAGACGGATCACCTGATGGTAAGCAATCGGTGTCTGTCATGGCCATCCGGAACACCGGAGGCGTTACAAGTGCGTTATCGGCCTTTTGGGGATTACATATTTGAGGATTGTTGGAGACTCAGAGATAGGGGAGATTGGAGAGGACCTCACTCACACGATGAAACAAATAGCAAGCGTTCTTTCACGTATGTCAGTCTACGACTAACTGCTTAATATGAACTTTCTTATTCCAGTTAATTAAAAGTAGCATCCGCTTTGATCGATATCTTTTAAATTTGAACTCGTATACACAAGTAACAAATAATTCCCAAAACAAACCCTCAATAGGTAAACAGGCTAAGAAAAATAAGTAATATATTTTCAATTCACTTATGCAAATGGCGATAAAGCCCACAACTTAGGCTGCGTGCTCCCACTCAACTACTTAACCTCGTATCTGCTTTGTGCAGCCATAAATCTGAATAATGCAAATAGATTCAGTACAGCGGTTACGAGTAGCATTACGAGTCATGCACTTGTAGTATGGGTTTCATACAATATCGTACGTAGCCACAAAATGGAAGTTATTACATGGAGCTTACTTAACAGGAATAGGTAATGATGAGAATTTAGTGGTTGAACAATTAGTGGTCGCCCAATAATATGTTAAGTGTGGGAGAGCCATGCTTCGGCACTAATGGGCCGGCTCGACCGGAGTGATACCACGGCCGAGGAGAAAACCGACGTAAAGCAACGCTTGCGTTGTGTTTCGTCGTGTGAGTGAGGTTACCGGAAGCCCAATTACCCTCCCCTTCCCCAATCTCCCCAATTCCTGAATCCCCAACGATTCTCAAACCCCTAATCCCTAAAAGGCCGGTAACGCACTTGTAACGCCTCTGATGTTCCTGGTGTCCATGGGCAACGCCGATTGCTTACCATCAAGTGATCCGTCAGCTCGTTTACCTCCTTATGAAATAAAAAAAAAATATTTTACCAGTTGAGTGAATAATTAAATCCAGTAGTGAGGTTATTCAATAGCCTTGAATTAAACCTTAAAACCCTAAAAGAAACAATATACAACTTATATTTTATTATTGTAAATGTTATGATGTAGAAGCCTACAACAACAATATCTATTTGACACAATTGTACTTTAGCAATGCAAAAAATGTGTCATTCATACATATACGTATCTGACAGTAGGTCGAGTTAAAACAAACACCAGTACGTGTCAGATTTGAAAACCGCAATTCTTAAAAAAGCAGTCGTAATCCTGGTGTAATTCAAATCCAGCTCCGAACAATACTTGAGCAAATATCAAAAAATATAATAAAGAGTCCTATCGTGAGGTCCAAACCTCATTCTAATTAGCATATTACGAACCCGATCCCTTGGTTCCACAGCCCTCTCATTTACATTCTCGTTTTAATCTCTTTGGCCAGAACCTCTATTATAATACCTGCTTTTATAATTTACTATGTGCTAATTAAGTTGGTTTTGTTCTCAATTTTTTACGTACTGTTGAAGCTATCTGTTGTAATTATTATAGTGAAGATATTTTGCTGTCTGTCTCCTTTTATTTACAATCCGAAATTAAAGTGTCTACATGAAGTTTTTCACATAAATAATGAACTTATTAAAGTTCATTATTCTGCACAATGTTGTGGCATGTTAAAAAATTAGTAATCTATATGCTATTTTTTAACCAAGACAGAATCATAATTAAGGTTATTACGAAACCACGTATGAAAACTAAACAAACACTCCAATAGTCTATTTAACCTTTTTAATAAAATTGTCTTCCTAAACAACTATCATCCAATTCTATTAACAGTAGGACTTTTAAGTAATACACATAACATCACGTCTTTTATCCCCGAAGTCCTCTGACTGAGCACTACCCCTTCACCACTGTACAATGTAACACCCACTTTTCACTATTTATGTTATAAATCCCATGTAAAAGGGGGTGAGCCTATTGCCGGGCATATTTCCAGACTCCGTACTACCACTGAGACTTTTTTAAAAAACCTCTGAGATCCCTTGCCTGGCAGTCACACTTGTGACCACTCGGCCAACGAGGCAGTCAACGACTTTTAACCTATGAAATGTTGGAACGCAGATCTACGCGAGACACAATGTGTTTTCTATTGTGCCTCATATATCGACAGACGAGAGGTTAATATAGATAACCTCAAAACCTACTTAGACCACATCTAAAAGTCTAAACCACAAATCTTCTATCAACGCAATCCGTACCTAAATTCTACCTTAGATTTATGACTTTTCTGTACCCAAAAGAGGACGTAACATCACCTGTCGCAGCTCTAAGATGAATGGCTCCTTGCTATTCAGGTTTTCATGAAAGAAATTTACATACATACAATGAATATTTTCAATACCTACTATTGGTAGGAGCAGTAACTGCTGAAACTTTGCAATGTAGTTGAATTCCAAAGTCTTTGAGGACTGACTTCGTATCGAGTTTGTTGTTTCCAATCTCGACCGCGGTGTGTGGTGCATCGAAACCATTTATTCCAATGCATTATGAAGATTGTATTGTGTATTTTTGTGCTGTAACTTGTAGTAGGTATATTTACGCTGATTGTTTCAGTTTAAATAAAATCAAAATATATAACGGTGATGAGATAAATAAAATTACGTCTTTTGTGTATTTTTATTCTACTTTAGAGTATTTGATACTATTTTACTCTTGCTATTCATCAATTGACAAGTCATAATTACATGAATGAAATTTCATAACATTGTAATTACTTCGACAAACTGTGATACACATTAATTTTATTACGGTACCATTGAATAACTATCTTCTCTATCCAGAGTTTTGGGAGGACCACTTCCAATGCCGCTACCCTGGCAGCCTGAAGACTCCATACAATGGCCAGTACTCCAGGACCTGCTCCGGGATGGAGAGGCTCACAGTCAACAACACGGAGTTCGAGAGACAGCTGCAGTTCGTCTCAGATGCTGTCATGGCCTTCGCGCACTCTATACGGTAAGATTCCTTTTTGTATTCAAATGAAAAGAGTATCCAACTTTGTGTAATTAAAAAAATTAAGAACCTTTTCAAATGATTCATACATAAAACTACACAAGATTATAGAAACAAGTTGTGAAATGTCGTTAAAATGTAATACCTAATGCCATCTATTGGTTATTTACTTACATTAATGTTTAATCGTTGATTACTCGAGTAAACCAATTTTCATTCTGTTCAGGACTGCTGAACAAAAATGTTATATTTAATTACTAGAATGTAATTATAACAATAATCCTCCATGTCGGTTTTGACTACGGCGACCGTTTCTTTACTACTGACGTCTATCATGGGATCTCAAATGGCTGGAAAATCCACCTCTGTATAATAATGTATAAATGAATGAAGACTAGAATGTATTTATGTTATTATGTCAAGTAATCTCTTCTTTGTTCGAGTACATGCTTAAAGAAATAGTCAGACATAATTATTAAGTAATGTATAAAATAAAAGTTATTAGGCCTCGATTGGTCTGCAGAAATAAATTGTACACTATTCAAATTATCCTAAACATATCAAGTTTATAAACAAATCGAAAATTCCATATGCAACCACTAAACCAACAAACAGTCGTTAAAAACGTTTTTTTCCATACAGTACTCGTATAAAGGATTTAAAAAATAGAGGTTCAAATTTTCAAACATTCCCATTTGACCGTTAATATGGATTCAGTCATCCTTAAAAACTAAACAAACAGCCTTTTGCTGATACGTCTGTAAACTGGCAGATTTGCCCGCATCGTGTACACACGGCTACACATCAAGCTTTACATAACCAGTATAAACTGAACGTTAAATGTGCGGAAAGATGATGCGACGCGACGCCAGGATAAACTGGTTTTGTATAGATTGATGCGTGGCCGTGTGTACATGCTGACATGGATCCAATAAAACCATTATCAATGCCACACTGTACATACGAGCTAGTAGCAATAAAAACGAATTGACCTGTTTTGCAATAAAAATAGGCAGCTTTTGAACTTTTGGTTGGTTTCATACATTTTGTGATGTTGCATCTGGAATTGAGTACTTGCCTTAGATAATAATCAAAAATAAGTAACTAGCTTTTTCTAGCAATTTTTTAAGAAATAAGTATGCTGTTTGACGTTAATAAACGTGTGAATTTTGTACGAGATCACAATCTCGTACAAAATTCATAGAAAACTATCGTTTTTGACAATTCGAAAAGTATCGAATTCGACTAGTTGGCAAGTATCCAAAATAGCATAAATAAGCACAGAAATTGCAATTTCAAACATTTGTATATTATCTTATTTTAATCTACTTATGTATGTCGCGGAGAACCTAACGAGTTACCGGGCCTCCAGCTCGAAGTGCAGGAGAAGGAACGGAGTGGTTTTTAGTCAGTAAGAGTCTGACGCTCCCTCCTGCCTCACCCAGGCGTGAGCAGTCATTCGATGATTTTCCCCCCTTAAAAAATAATCTACTTATGTATAGCATAATTCTGTTTGCTAGGTACGTTTTTATACACGTACTTTAAATTGTATGACTGTGTGATTATTTCATCATGTGCAACAACTGTTAAATGAACTGTACAATAAGTACTAACTTCACCAACCCAAAATTTTACACAACCACTTGTGATAACTATTCTGAAATGGCAATCTATCTATCAAGTCATTAGGGGAGGCCTATGTTCAGCATTCGACTTCTTATGGCTAATGTGATGAATATATTTTTATCAAACTGCAATTTACTATTTTTGTATATCTTGAGAAAGTTGAAAACCAAGCACTTTTTCTTTAACTGGTCATATTCAACCATAAAATATTAAAGTAAAGAGCAGAATAACTCAAACAACACAAAGTCTTCAACCTTTTAAACACAATTACAAAGTAGCAACAGATCCAAAATAACCGTCCATTATGTTGTAAGCCTAGAATTTTCAAAGAATAAATAATTCATAGAGAACAAAGTGGGTTCATTCTCTTGAAACGAATTCGACGAAAACGGCATTACTTTAATGGTCTTTAATCAAATTTTCTGAGGTCATGTAAATGAAGTAGCCCATATCAATTAGAGGTCCCAAAGGGTACCGGGTCTCAGGATCACATGGAATTAATTTCATCCCATCCAAGTAACATTGATTTAAATGTAATCCCCTGGGAAGTCTTTCTAATTTGTTCTCGTCGCGGTCAGGTTTTGTTAATTAATTTCGGTGGATTAGCCAACGATAGGTTCACAATCAGCTTTAAGACGAACTTGCCTAAAAATATCCTCATTATAAATTATAAAGTTTGCAAGAACGGTTTGATTAAGTACAAGATTAGCGAAGTTAATAAAAGTAAACGTCGGTTAATTTTATAGAAGTACATACCTACCCAGTACCTAAATTGCTCTCTCATCACTATTTAGGACTATTTCAATCTCAAACTATTTTAATGAAAAATATATTTTCTAAAGTTTCTCCGGCTAGACCGGTCGCCAAGTCAGCTCACGAATGAACAAACTTTAATCTTGTTTTTTTCATTTTTTAATAGCCTGGCTATTTTCTTGGTAAAGTGAAAAGAATTTTCTAGCGATACAATTAACTGTCTTGCTAAGAGTTAATTAAGAAGTTGGCTAGTAGTGCACGTTTGAGAGTTGGCGAGACTGGAATTATGCTCAGCCACTGTTACAAGGCAAAAAGCGATACAGAACGTAGGCGTCAGCTTATCAACCTACTCAAAACTGTCAGATTTCTTCAATATACTTTCGACTTTGTCACAAAACCAAAAAGGTCTAAAAGCCTTACTTGATATGATTTTGTCTGTGTGGGACGTGGAAGTGTGGGAGAGCCATGCTTCGGCACGAATGGGCCGGCTCGACTGGAGTGATATTACGGCCTCACAGAAAAAATGCTTGCGTTGTGTCACGTCGTATGAGTGAGGTTACCGGAGGCCCAATTATCCCCCTTCCCCAATCTCCCCAATCTCTGAAGCCCCAAAAATCCTCAAATTCCTCATCCCCAAAAGGCCGGTAACGCACTTGTAACGCCTCTGGTGTTTCAGATCTCCATGAGCGACGCCGATTGCTTACCATCAGGTGATCCGACATCGGTTACCGACTTATCCCATAAAACCCTAGTAGGTATATATTTACTTCTGCTCAGGTACGTGCGGTCTGTACGTTCCTTAGCAATAGGGCGAGGTGTTGAAACAATGGTTGAGAGGTAGTTTATTGTATAATCTGTATTTGTGCGGTAGGACCACAGAAACATCGATCTTAACGTCCTGTGGTTAGGTCGTGTGTGGCCTTTAACGATCACGTTTAACCTAGTTTAGTTATTAACATTTATGCTGTGGTCGTACTTAGTTATTACATAACATATTCACATAACATTACGCTATTTCTTTCTTGAAAGGATATACGGAATAGAAACTGAACACTTTTCACCAGTTGGATAATAAATCCTGTTTATAATCCCCAATATCCCCAATTCCTGAATCCCCAACAACCTCAAACTCCGAATCCCTAAAAGGCCGGTAACGCAATTGTAACGCCTCAGGTGTTCCAGGTGTCCATCAGGTGATTCGTCAGCTCGTTTACCGGTTTATGCCATAAAAAAAAATTAAAAAAATAATTCGGACGCAATTCTAGTTTCTACAATCCAAAAATTCTATAATGCTTTGCCCAACCAAGCAGCCTGCTTTATATAGCATTAAGTAATTCAAAATCTCAACAATATTTTACCAGAACAAGGGATTTAATTCTGAACCTGAATATTCTTAACTGCTAGACCGAGAAAAGTCTTCACTTATTCATTTCCGTATATTTAAACAGTTTACAGCATTACTGGCTCGTTTCCAAGCTCCTTGCTTCTTTGTCTTTAGTAAAATGTTGTTTCATACTCCAATTCTTTGCTGATCATAAAGCAGAAATACTCAGAATTATAGAACAAAGAAAGAATTTGGGACATAGTCGACGAATGCCATAATATCTAACTCTTTCATCCAAAGTTTCCATTGAAAAATGCATGGCATGAGTCCAATATACAAAGTTTATGTGTACAAAGACAATGAAACATGAAAAAATAAAACATTTCTTAAACAAAACCTAGTCTAATTAATTGCGTCGCGGAGAAGCTAACGGGTAACCGGGGCTCCGCCTCGACGTGCAGGAGAAGGAACGGGGTGGTTTTTAGTCAGTAAGAGTCTGACACTCCCTCCCGCCTCACCCAGGCGGAAGCAGTCATTCGATGATTTTCCCCCTTAAAAAAAAGTCTAAATAATTGCAATTTTATGCCATCATATTTTAACAAAACAACAGTATTTTACGTTGCCAAAGATTTAATAACAATAAACCAAAGCAATTTCGTAATACTTAAGGATGCCCATTATTTAGTGATACCAATAAATATAAACCTTAGATGCCTTTTCAAGTTGTAAAGGTCAACTGTGTCATCCAATTTTATGGGGTGCTTGGTGCCTGGCAATAAACCAGATAACTGCCTTCGAGTTGACAATGATCCCTCAAGTGGCTGCGGACCTGAAAGAGGCTTTGCAGATATTATATGAGAAAGTGAGGAAAGTGCTGAAGCCGCCGATTTTGTATGTTACTTTATTCTGTGGACTACAAGGCTGGTTTCTTTATTTTTTTCGTTGGGTATTTTTGTACCTACTCTGGAAATTTTCTTAACAGGGTATGTATCTTATCATCAGCAATTAAACCAGAGTAATCTAGTAAAACTACGAAGTTAACACTTCACAATACTAGGAACTATTAATTATTGCACAATCACTCTCGCTTTCTACAAAATTTAGATGTTTCCAGTTTATTAGATGGACTTTGAAACTCAGTATTTCTATTATTGTTAAACAAATATTATTATTTATTGCCTTAAGCAATAAGTAGAAACTATCACAATTCAACGATAATTATTGATGAAGTAAAAGTTTAATTTTACTAAAAATAACAACTATCTAAAACTAAAATCCAATATACTTTCCAAGTATTATG